TGCTGTGATTGGAAATTTCCTGAGGCCCTCACCAAAAGCAGATGCTGGTGCCATGTTTCCTGGAAGTGTGGGCAGAAATGTGAGCCAAATAAACCTCTTTTCTTTATAAACTACCCAGCCTCAGATATTTCTTTATAGTGACATAAAATGGACTAAGACAGTGGGTTTATAGACTAATGAGCACATATGATTAATCAATTCATCTCTCAAATAAACAGAATATGAAACTGTAGTAAGTGAACATACTAGTTCATGCTTGGTGTAGTAAGTTCACTGCTGGTGAACGTGGTGCTATGAGAGGCTCTAAGATGGTGATTTGATATTATCAAAGGTCAGGAAGGACTTCTCTGAGGAAGACATGGTATATCCCAGATCAAAAGAATGAGTTGATTTGGTAAAGAGAGTGGGAAAAGAATTCCCAATAGAGGGACTCGCATGTGAAAATCATGAGAGGATGGCGTGAAAGAAGCTAGTTTGGCCAGAACAGAGAGAGAGGCTGCTGGAGAGATAGGTAGGAGGCAAACATGCATGGTCGTAGGCCAAAGCTTTTCGCCATTATCCCAATAACTATTGATATCTGCTGAGGATTTTAAACACAGAATGGCATGACTTGGCTTAAATTTGAATCCAATCACCTGAGCCATGATGAGAAACAGACTGAAAGGTGGCAAGAACAGAAGCAAGTAGTTCAGTTTGAAAGCTATCACAGTTGGATCTACGTCTAGAAGCACTGATTGTGTCCCAAGATGACCAGTTAACAGGAGTTTTGCAGAATCTCTGGGCTGATAGCACTGGGATAAAGGCCTCTGGTTTATCTGGGCAGTGGAATGTAAACCTACTATACAGTAGAGTGCGCTAATTAAGAACATCTACTTTGGACACACCTGTGTTTGCCTTTTATTGCTATTTTGGTTGCAGTGACCATTACTGTTCATTTATAGCCAACAACAAGAGGAAAACAAAGAGCCAATCTGCTATTTGTTTTCCCATTCAATATTGTTTCCTATCCAATAATCTGAAACCAATATTTTTTCAGCATCATCCTGCCTCCATGTGGCCCAATTAGTTTAATGATAATTCTATACCTTTTCCTAAGTAACTGGTTTAGGAATGGCTATGTGACATATTCTGAGTCCAGAAGACATGAAGGGAAGCTTGGAAGCATGGGGATGTGTGTCTGAGGAAAGTTTCTGTCTCATAAAAGAAATCCACAGGAAGTGACTCTAGATATGATACCTGAAACCTGTGAAAGGAGGAGTTGAGTAGTAGAAAGCTGCAGCCTGTGAAAGGGGGAGCTGAGAAATAGAAAGAAACTTTGGACCTCACCTTAACAGCACAATTAAGCTATTAGTCAAGCAAATCAATCATCTTCAGGGCTCACTCTGCCTCTAATAACCTTGCTGTTACCTGGGATAATAAAGTCTTTAGTTGAACTTAGGTGTTTCTGATTTGCGGGTGAGAGTATTGAAACCAATAAATCAGCTGTGTGGACCTGGGAAAGCTGATTACAGTCTTTGAGCCACTTTCCTTATCTGTAATGTAGATAATAGTTATATTTGTTGCATCGAAATAGTGTTGTGAGGATTATATTACATAACATACCTTATGTGCTTAGCCCAGTGCCCAACAAAGAGTTGCTCAATAAATTGTTGTTATGGAGATGAATAACAGTCCTTTCTCATATTTTAGATCAGTGAGAATGGACTCTGATTACATATGGCTATGTGTCTACAGGTCATATACTAGGCAACTGTTTGGAAGCAAATAAACAGCTATACTTTCATTTTTTAAAAAAGATTTTTAGATTTGTAGATTTATGTCTACATAAATCTATAGGGGGTCTATAGGGAAATGCAAATGTACCCCTAGACTGCCTGGATATCTTTTTTTTAACCATCTTCATAATTCATTTCAATATAATCAGTTAGATTGGTTATACAGATTATTCAATTTGGTCATTAGATTGTCAGAAAACACCAGCTGGGTGATTCCTGGAGCCAGAATCTTCTCTTTGGCTGTGGCCTCCCTGTCTTCTGCTGAAGGATTTCACACATATGACATCACTGTGTAGGGACTGCTTTGGCACTACTCATTCACTTACTCTGTGGCAGGGGAACACTGAATCTTTGATATCTCTTGAATGTGCAGATCAATAGCCTAGTTCTTCTTTCCTGAAATCCTAATGTGACTTTTGGACTACGGACAACATTTCACAAGCTAGGTTGACAATCCCAAAATGAATTGGACGATTCAAAGCCAAACTTGCTTTTGCATATCAAGCCTGAAATACTTGTTTTTTTTTGTCTCTACCTGAACTCACTGGGTGACTTCTAGAATTGTGCTTTCTTTTGAGTGTTCTCCTAAAGCCACATGTACTCAGTGGCTGGGGTTAGATCCTAAGCTGGTGTGCAATTAGCATGTATGTCTGTAGAAAGAAAGCTAACATTTGAGTGCAAGGTATGGTGCTAGTGGGTTTATATGGATATTATTATGTTCATTTAACAGATGCAGACCTAGGATTAGAGAGTTGAAATAACTTGCCTAAGTCACTGATTAGCAGGTGGTAGAGATGAAGTTTGAACCTAGACCTGTCTTACTCCAAAGCCATACTGGAGAAGCCATTCAGCATAGTAAATAGCAGCATACTGCATGGCCTAAAGCATGAACTGCAGCGTCAAGTGCCTGTGTCAAATTGACGAGTGTCACTCACTGAACATGCAATCCTAGGCAAGTTACTTAACCACCTTGTGCCTCAGTATCTTCACCTGTATAATGGGAATAATATTAGTACCTGCATCAAAGCATTGTTGTAAGAATTAAATGAGTAAATATATATAAAGCACCTAGAATAATGCCTGGCACAATGTGTTATAAGTGTTTGCTAAATTAAAGGAATGTAATGTTTATTGCCATATATTCAGTTTGAAATTTATGTTCTTGTGTATTTTGTAATGGAAAACAAATATTCTTGAATTTTGTCTTGGTTGCCTTCCTTGGTTATCAAAATATACAACTGTGTATTTTGACAATACAGCCAGAATATTGCAGGCAGAAACTTGAATACAGGTCTTTAAAACTATAAAACAATTGTGTTTCCTACTATATCAGGCACAGAACGGGAGACTTTGGGGCGTTACGGAGGAGAAAAAAAAACCATTAAATGTATTATAACACAGTCAAAGGCTAATATTCATACAATCTTCTTAGTCTTTTCTGGATTAGCCATGAGTGACTAGGATTTTTCTCTGCACATTGAGGCTTATAAATCAAATACAATTTCAAATAAATGTTCAGATAAAATGCATATATATCTATATCACTAGAGGCCTCTCATTTCCTTTTTTGTCTTTTGCCAGTAACGAAAACTTCTCTTTCCTTATTCATTTTAACTCCCTTATCCTTTTGTCACTATAATAAGAGGTTTTAAATATTTTAAATTGGTCACGTATAAGCCATTCTCTAATGACTGCATCAGTTCAGAATTGGTATGCTATAAATAAACACAAAAACCGGAATAAATTTCATTAGCAAGTAAAGATAATACGTATCACAGTACAACACATAAATTTCCTTCTGTGCTTGTCAAGCAGGAGACTCGAGAAATGCTTGTCTCTGCAAGCTGCACCAAGACTCATAAATTGCTTCACAGAATGAGGAAATATTCAGTAAACACAGACAATTAATAACCATGTTCTCAAGGGACTAAATGGAGCTACTATACATTCCCAAAGAGCTAAGGAAAAGTGGTGTCCTTACATTGTCCTTGAGGGCTCTGCCACAGGGTACTATGAATGAGTGAGACGGGCTTAGTTTGGTGGGGAAAAGACACATATAAACTCAAAACTCATCATTTTGTGTGTATGTGCTGTTTTTATATTTTACCTGCCTGGAATAGATGACTCATTTTTCTGAAAAGAACACTCGTGGTCTTCCTTTGATGAACATAGTCTTTCTCCTTGTCTCTCTGTATGGTTTGGGTGGAGCAGTTGATTTACCTCTCCTGCTTCAGAGGTGGAAGCTGACCCATATCTTGAGAATCAGAAAATTCACTTCTCTTGGTCACAATGATTGTTCCAAGTGTGGGCAAATAATCCATGACAGACAAATACGACTAAAATCTGGACCTCTATTGAAACAATTAGGAAAGAAAACTTCCTTTTTGCAGATCTGAAGTGCAAGTGTTCTCCAAGTAGAAACCAACCACTTAGAATTAAGTCAACATAAAGGACAGAAATACCTGGAGAGGAAGGAGCCAGATGTGAAGACACCATCTGAGCATCTTGATTCAATTATGTCTGAAGACTCTATCTCCAAACTTTTTGTTAAGGTGGAAGAGTAAATAGAACTTTCTTTTTTTTTTTTTTTTAAAGTTTGCTGTTTTTTTTCTTAAGGCAGCCTGAATTGGTTTCTATCATTTACCAAAAAAAATTCTCATTAATAAGACTATGATATATGATATAAAAAGTGCCATTATAATCATGTGAACAAAAGGTCTTGGCATCCAGGATGGAGAGATTAAGGAGTGCCATTTGAACTGAGATTTGAAGGTGTATAGAATTTCACAGGTGGAGTAAGATAGGGAAAGGCATTTCAGAGAAGAAAAGCATGTTCAAAAAGAATGAACATTTTATGGAATATGAGAAATTTGGGGTATCCAGGGCATAGTGTTATGGTGGGGAGCAATAAGAAGAATGGCTGGAGAGATGGGCTGGAGCCCAGTTATACATCATACATCATGCTAGGCATTATATACCATGTTAGGGAACATATGTATAAGAGCAATGTGAGCCATAGGGGAAATGATGTGATTAGATGTGAGTGTTAAATTACTGACTATAGTGGCAGAATGGGGAATTGAAGTATGGAGACCTGTAAGCACAAAAGTTGACTTGGGGCTATGGCATTGAGTAAGGTCAGTAAATATATGGCATATACTGTCTTTTCTCAATCCTGGACCTAAGGCAGAATTTGCTAATTGACCACCCCTCTTTCCAATTTAGCATTCTCAGCACAGCGTTCCAGACAGCTATTACCAGTGATTTGTCTATTCTTGCTCACATTGAAATCTACCTGCTCTTCCAGACCTTTCAGTAAGTAGTTGATATGAATGCCATAATGGAACTGAAACTCTCTTGTGTTGACTCTTGCTTTAGATTCTTGGGTTGTACTGTAGAGTTAAAACTCTTCTTTTTTAACTTGTAGAAGTAAATAGGTGAGTGTTTGCTGAGCAGAAAAAAATATTTCGAGTGAAATCTCAGTCTCTAAGAGAGACTGCAACTTTCCTTCTTCTCTCGATGCAAGCAACAGCACTAGTCCAGCAACTAAAACAAAATTGATGGATTCCATGTGGGCCAGTGTCTAGCTCAAGCTACTTTTAATGGGATAGGAAGCATGTACATTTCCTTGAGGTCACAACTTTAAATCTGACCTGTGGCGATAAGAACCACCTTCTGACAGCTCCTTGGCAGCTGCTGTGAAATGAGATATGGATCTTAGGACCATTTCTTGTAGCATGAGTCCACTTCAGCAAAGCCATGCTGGAGTTACTGCTGGAGAGGGAGTGCTAAACTGAAGGGAAAAGGTATAAATGGAGACAGGCTGCTCTGTCTACCTGTCAAAGTGGTTTTGCCAGAGCCACCTTGAAGCCCATTGGGTTAAAGGCTACAGTGACAGCTTTCACTGGAGAAGGGATGATATTGGGCAGTGGGGGGTGCATTCCTTTGCTGACTCAAAGAGTTAGATTAAAAATGCAGGAGCTTTACAGTTAAGAGAAATAGCCCAGCCAACAGATAGCAGAGAGGAGCTGTATTCCTCAGCTCTGTCAGATAAAGGATATTTAGAGTCACCTAAAATTATTTGCATTTGAATTAAAGAAGAGAAATTCCTCATTTGGAGGGCAAAAGAAGCCAGGAAGAAAGAAACCTGGCTCTTGGGTGTTAAGGTTCTGATGGCCTTCTTCACTGTACTTCTTAGTATAGTCTTGTTCTTGCTTGCTCAAATGGAAAGGAGAATGCACTATTATTTTTAAGACTCCAAGGTCTTACAACCAAAAAAAGTAGATCTAAAGCAGAGAAACAATTGAGGATTTCAAATTTCAAAAGCTTGTCAGTATCTGTTTTCAAAAATTCAGAGAAGAAAACCTGGACACAATACTGCATATAAAAAGAATTACCATCTACCAAGCAACAACGGTTTGCCAGCACTTCTCTGTATGACTTATTTACATTCTTCAATATTTCCTTTATTTTACAAATAAAGTAGCAGAGTTTACAGAAGCAACTTGCTCAGCTTACACATCTAGTAAGTGATAAAGTCTGTATTTAATGGCACATCTATCTAATTTCTAGGCCATCATTGTTTCATTCTACCTTGATATATTCTGGTATAGAAAATGCCTTGAGGAACAGATACCCCTAGCAAGGATAAAATAGAATGACCTAAAAATCCCTAAAGATAATGATAATGGGCACACTGCTGAGCACATTATGGGAATCTCTCCAATTAATCTTCAGAATAACACTATGCATTGGGTTCTATTGTTTGCCAATTTTACAAAGGAGGACATTTAGAGATCCTGGTTAACTCTCCCAAGGTCTCCCAGACATTCAGCGATGAAGCTGGGATTAGGATTCAGATCTACCTTGCTTTCAAGGCCCATCCTCTTAATTTCTAATGCTGGTGTGGCACATATTAATACTTATTAATAGACGCACATGAGATTACTTTAGGGGGAATACAAACAAATATAATTTTTAAAAGTAGTTGTTTCACTACCAAATTCAGTATTTCACTTTTAAATTCTACGTGAACGTCCACAGCCAGCTTAAGTCCCCACCTCCATGAAGCTTCCCTCTGAATTCCTGCTGCCTTACTGCTTGTACCACAAAACTGGACTTTTCACATGAATACCTGGTGGTAATATGCAGTTATTGTTTCTCTTCAGTTGTGAGCAGACATGGCAAATATATCTCAAATCATGTTCTTCTAACTTTGAAAGATGAATAGCAACTGTTGAAGTGCTGTGTTGGAAAGGAATTTGAGGTCGCCTGTGAGCTGAGCAGGAAAGGACACCATGATCAATAGTGATGTCTATCATGGGGCAGGTGAGGTGAGAAGAGGCCTGTGTGCTGCACATTTGTCATTCTTGTGTCTTGGTTTTCCAGCTAGAAGGTAACTCTTTGAGAAAATGATCCATGGCTCCTTCATACACTGCATTTCCCTCAGCATATTTATAGATTCACTGATTCTGACTCTCGTTTCTTTTGAAGACCATTTCTGAAATTCCATAAGAATCAGAAGCCATTCAGTGAGTCTTTTGTGAATAATAATTTAAAAAATACAAAAAAGAATGAGAAGCCATTATATTTTCACTGTTGATTACAGGTGTAGAATTTGTACTTCTGGTTTAAAGACTGTCTTGGTCCGTTTTCTGTTGCTTATCACAAAATGCCAGTAATTGGGTAATTTATAAAGAAAAGGAAATTTTTTTTCTTAAGTTGTGGAGCCTGAGAAGTCAAAGGTTGAGGGGCCGCATCTGGTAAGAGCCATTTTTATGGTGATGACTCTCTATATAGAGTCCCAAGGTGGCTCAGAGAATTGCAGATAAGGAGGCTGAGCCTGCTTGCATGCTAGCTCAGGTTTCTCTTCCTCTTCTCATAAAGCCACCAATACCCCTCCCATGACAACCCATTAATCCATTAACCCATTAATCCATGAGTGAATTAATCTATTAATGAGGGCAAAGCCCTCATGATCCAATCGCCTCTTCACAGCTCTGCCTCTCAGTACTGCCACACTGGGGTTGAAGTTTCAGCATAAGTTTTGATGGGGACATTCAAACTATAACAAAGACAAAAGAGCTGGTTACCAAAGAGCATTTTGCTTTTCTTTCTCCCTACACTATAATCCAGCAAGTACTGAACAGGAGACTTAAAGATGTGGGAGAGAAGCCAGGAGATGGAGTGGATCAGAAAAGCAATGCCTTTGACCAAAATGAGCTTCCACAATAACATTTGGGAGACAGTTTTTCTCACATGCTAATCCAGCCTTATTCAATCAATTTGTTCCTTTGATTTCACATCTCTCTGGTTTTCTCTATGATTTCATTACTTGTTGCCAAAGAACGGATGGCTGATAGCTAGGAATGGCTGGTCCGAGGTCCTCTAGGCTTGAGATTTCACCAGCATCATGTTAGGGTGAAAAACAGCAGCTGTCAGGATCTGTTCACAGTGGGCTATTGATCTAGACAAGCGTCTGCATTGGACCCAGAGATATCAAATTGTAGCTGGGAAAAAATGATCTGCAAACAGAATCCTGTATATTCATCTAGCTTCTTGACAAAACTATGCAGTAAGGAGTGCCAATTCAGGCTCTGCTCATCTCTCCTTTGTCCATGCTCTGTTTATTCTCTGTAGTGTTCCGAGATGTTTATTATCTCCAGGGCAGGGCCCCCTTTTCTTGAGAAAATATAATCTGTTTTTTATTATTATTTCCCCCATTCTAACTCACCCAGCAGCATCCTGGGTCACATTCCTTCAGAACCTTTTCTCTTAGCTGGTTGACTACGTGCTGTTTAGAATAAGTTATTCTCAGGCAGCTAATGTATTTTCCCTTCTAAATGGCACTTGCAAGCATAATGCTTTTTTTTTGATGGCTTGTTTGTTTTTAACATCCTGGAATCATGTCCATGGTGTGAATCTCAGGCATTGTGACAGGCCAGTGGAGGACATACATTTGCTTATAGAGGTTTTCACTGAATCATACAGTGACAGGGTCCATTCTTCTATTTGAATACTTCTGGGCAATGGATCTCAACCAGCATCCCTAACAGAAGTGAGCTGTCAAATTATTAATAATAATGTGTGAACTGATTTTTGCTGTAACTGAGGCTTCATGTGGGTAAAGTCACATCTGCTCTAATTTATAGTTAAGTGGGTCATGCAATGCTGCACAGAGTTGAGTAAGACTTGGCGCAAATAAAAGATACATAGCATACCATTAAGTTGGTGCCAAAAGAGACAGTATGTTTACTGGAACATAAGGAAAAGTAGGCCTTGTATACAAATATGAAAGTCAAACTTAAGACAGACAATGCTTTTACTCAAACATTTGTTGGAAATCACTATTATAGAGTATTTTGTTCCTTTTTCTATTTCCAGAGACTAGCTTGATGCCTGACATAAGGAAGGCACTCAAGAACTGTTTTGTAACCTAAGCAGTAAGATTGAGGTTAGCACCTGCTATTTAACCTCATATGCCCCAATATAAGGCAATCTTGAATTAAATGATCTTGCACTTTCTCCGAAAAGAATATGATTTTTTAAAAAAGGTTTTGGTCCAATTGAACAGACATACTTCTAAGTCTGTAGATGAAATACTATAGTTGCTGACCTACAAACAGTATTTATTTAGTTCATTACACATACATACTTCAAGAAGTGATATATTAATTTAGAAATACTGCTTTTTCCCACTTTTATATTTTTTGAGACAATTTTATTCAAACTCTTCAGATGCACTTTTGATATCTTCTTTCTTATAGTGCTTTTGACACTGTTCTCCCTTCTCCTGTTCCCATTTCTTCTGAAGATTCACATTGTTCAAAGGAAATTTAGGCTGTTGCCCAAAGACATTTCATAGTTGACAGTATAACACTAAATTATGCAGAACCCCATTGGCACCAATAGGCCTGATGCTGGTTTTGGCATCCATTAATTCTTTATTTCAAGAGCCCTTCTGGTGGCTTAGAAAGCACTGCTGTTAGTGCTGGAGCCATTGAACGAGTGCATTTTTTCTCAGTCTTCCCTGTCAGTAATAGAATATGGCAATAAGCTGTCTTCTCTAATTTACTTTTGGGCTTTAGTCTGCCTAGAGGGTTAGGAGGAGGAACTGGGAGCTGATGTAGGAGGATCAGAACAGGAAAGAAAGACACATTAGTGTGGTCCTGCCCCAGTCTGGATTGTGCAAATTTGGAGCATTGAGCTACAAAGGGCTGTGGAGATGATGGAGTTCAACACCTTCATAGTTTAGAAAAGTAACACGCGAAAAGATTAGGGAAGGCACGTTTCCCAGGATGTCTTTTCTGTTGACTCCAAAGGCCATATCCTTAACCAGTGTACTGTCCTCTAGAGAAATCTGTGATTCTCGACCTTGCTCATCCTTCGCTATGAATCCTTAGGCAAGATACTTAGCTTCCATGAACTTGAGTTTCCCATTATCTTCAAAATGGTGTAGTCACCCTCATGGTGATTTTGTAAGCAGAAGCGAAAATGATATACATAAAGTGCTCAAATCCCTTTGACACTGTAGTGCAACATATGGTAGCTACTGTTATTATTATTAATACTAGAGTTGTGATGATTATTATTTTGCATTGTAGGTCTTTTTCTAGGCACGAAGTGCTCTCCTGCTACCCTTTTCTATCCCTCCCACATAGACTCACTATATTTCAATACAAAATATACAATTTAAAGAATTGTAAGTTAAATTGTAACTTCAGTTACAGTGTTAAATGAAGTCGTATTAAGTTATTCATAACAATAAAAATGTCTTTTTCCTTTTCTTTGAGTTACTCTGTCTGGAAACATTGACAGTGCATTTACATGAGGCTGGGAGACCAGAGGCCACATTCTGAGGTCCATATCTCCCAGCACAAAGGTTAAGGGTAAGCACAAGTGAGGGAGGCAATTCAAAGAAGCAAACAGGGAAGGCCTGGCAGTGAGTCCCTTTTCCACCACGCCTTCCCCACATCCCATTCTAAGCTAGGAGATTCCTTTACTTCTTGACTCTTACCAGCCTACAGTTTTGAATATTCCAACTTTCCAGCTGCTAGGTCCATGCCTGCTTTTGGTAATCAACTTAGCTAACACTTGTTGAGCACCTACTATGTGTGCTTAAATTGTGATAGTTTTTGTGGAGTCTGCCTTAAAATGGAATTGTAGTCTGATATGGTGAAACAAATGTACACATAGGGTATAAAAGGGGAAAATGAGGACAAGGAGGTTTCTAATTGTGAACTGAAGTGAAAAGGAACCAACTGCCAAGTTCCAGATGGAATCAATGAGATAATGGTGCTGGCCTTGATTGTGCCCTGGTACCTGGGTTATTGGTGAGCAGTCTCTGTGATCTAGAGAATAACAGTATGTTATTGCCCACTGGAGAGTGAGATGAGACTCGCTTACCTTGAAGTCTGTGCCATAGCCCTACCACTTCGCATGTGCTCTGACCCTCTCCTAACTCCAGCCTCATCTTAGGTCAGACTCTCCTTCACTCCCTCTGCTGCAGGTTCATTTTCCCAGCATACTGAGCTCTTTCTGCCTTAAGTTCTCATGCATCTGCCTCAAACTTCCCATCTTCCCAATTTCAGCTTAAATGCCTTATCTTCATGGAGATTTTTCTGGAACACAGTACCCAAAGTATCCCCTTTCCAGTTACTCTGTGTCTCACTACTCTGTTTTACTTTTATCTTAGCCCTTACTCTGTAACTCTCTAGCTTATTTATTGATTTATATGTTTTGTTAATCAGTTTGCATTGTGATAAAGAAATGCCTGAGATGGTAATTTATAAGGAAAAGAGATTTATTTTGGCTCATGGTTCTGCAGACTGTACAGGAATCACGGCAGCAGTATCTGCTCTGCTCCTGGTGAGGTTTTAGGAAGCTTTCAGTCATGATGGAAGGCGAAGGAAAAGCTAACATATCCCATGATGAGAGAGGGAGCTAGAAAGAAAGTGAGAGAGAGGTCCCAGACTCTTTTAAACAGCCAGATCTCACGTGAACTAACTGAGCAAGTACTCATTCATCACCAAGGGGATGGCACTAAGTCATTCATGAGAGATCTTCCCCATCATCCAATATTTTTCACTAGGCTCCACCTTCAGAATTGGGAATCACATTTCAGCACGAGATTTGGAGGGACACACATCCAGACCGTATCACATGTTACATTTCCATGGAAATACATGCTTCATTAAGTGTAGAAATGAGTATGCATTTTAGGAGGGGTCTAGGGCTGGGTCTCTGTGGGAATGGACCTTGGTGGGTGCAAGGCTACCCTTTGACCACATTTTCTATCTGCCTTACAGTATTGTTTTCGCCCTTCTTCCTTTAACATTTTTTTTCCTTCATAGTCCTAACAATTGTCACATTAACATCTTATAATAATTATAAGGAGATGTTTTTCGAGCATGTCCATTGGCTTATCTTTTTTTGCAGAGACATGTTTTGTTCACTGTTGTAGCCTCAGTGCCTAACACATTGCCAGGCACATAAGAGGTACTCAGTATGTTAACTGAATTGTCTGTAGCACATTGTGGCTGTGTGCTTTTGGTAAGGTATATGACATCTATGAGCATGTTATATGACTTGTAGAATATGGGATGAGATGGGGGAATAATGGTACACCAATTTTGAGAGATTTTGAGAGGATGCAGAAAGATAGTGACTGTGAAATGCTTAATACATCATAGATATTAGCATAGAGAATGCATGAGCAAAAAGAGTCTTTTGGGTCTCTGTCTCCCTTTTGGAGAAGTAAACTTGGATGCCTGTCTCTGAGGCAGAGTCAGCATTTGAAGAGTCTAGAGTTTGTGCCTGATGCATTCATAGCACTTAAGGGCTCATTTCACTTTCTTTCTTTCTTTTTTTTTTGCTGAGATGGAGTCTCGCTCTGTCACCCAGGCTAGAGTGCAGTAATGCAATCTCTACTCACTGCAACCTCTGCCTCCTGGGTTCAAGCAAATCTCCTGCCTCAGTCTCCTAAGTAGGTGGGACTACAGGTATGCGCCACCATGCCTGGCTAATTTTTTGTATTTTTGGTAGAGACAGGGTTTCACCATCTTAGCTAGGATGGTCTTGATCTCCTGACCTCATGATTCGCCTGCCTCAGCTTCTCAAAGTGCTGGGATTACAGGCGTGAGCCACCATGCTCAGTCTCATTTCACTTTCAGCTAATATATCCTTGTTGAGGCCAGAGGGTAGAGTCATTCAGTAATTTTCACATCTGAACTTTCCTATTTATTTATTTTGAAAACTTTTTTTCTAACATTGATTTTCTATTTTAACAAAATTCACAATTGGATTCATTTTAAGGGAAAGAATAGTGTAATTATGCACCAGAATCCTTGAACTAATGCTAAATCCTTGCATGCATGCTGAGAATTCTATTGAATCAGCTATTATTATTATTATTATCTGTTAGATCTCTTTCTTTCTAGCAAGTCCAGCAATAAACTTTTGAATAGCAAGAGAAATGACAAATATGCTCTTTTTCTATAAATTATAATGAAACTAACATTTATAAAGTAATGAGCATGATCCAGGCACTGTACTAGATGCTTTTGTCTATGTGTTCTAATTAATCTTCCAAATAAACATGTGAGATAGGCTAAAGGAGACTAAAAACAGAGAGTCTGTGTCATTTTTATGAGGGATCACAGAAAATAAGTTAAAACTAAGACATGATAGATTTCAAGTTCTAGTTTGTTTGTTTTTTTTTTTTTCCTGTGAAGAGCCTCTATTAGAATATAAATGAAATTAAATTTTTTGTTTGCTTGTTGTTATTTCGTGAGGATAGCTGAATAGATTTTAACCAAATTCAAAGAATATGTTTGAGTCAATAAATATATACATATAGGCTATTTGATATACTCAAAATTTACCTTAGAGGTATTCTGCTTCTGGTAATGCCAAACCAGATTGTCTCTGATCAAAACTGTGGATGAGAATAACTAGAAAGGTGGGATGATACATTTAAAAATTCTGGATAAAGGAAGCAGAGAGCCATGAAGAAAGAAAGGATCAGGGCAGAGATCTGAGGGAGCAGAGAATGCCATAGAGGTGATTCTGACATTCAGTGCTACCCGTCTCCTTGAGATGATTGTTGATTTCAAAAGTAGTAGCTCAGGGTCTGAGAAGCTGAATTTAGCATTAAGAATCCTCATCAGGTGGAATGGTGAAACTAGAGTTCAGGGCACGCCAAGGAAGAGGGTCCTTGGTAAAACTTTAAAGTTTTACTTAGGATCTTAGGAGGGATGGTTAATTAAAAATAATTAATTCTTGGAGAAATTCAAGTTCAACTTTGAATGTCTTCATTCTGTGATTGCATCAATGTAAATTTGGGACATTTCAGGAAGATAATATGGAGTCTCGGATATTTTCTACACTTCTCATATGTAATACTCAATAAAAATATTTTCTGCATAGAAGACTTGACCCAAACAACAATAAACAAACATGAGATAAACAAAAAACAGACAATAAAACAAGCAAGAAATAAAAACAATGAAAATCAATCCACAGCAGATCCAGATATCAGAATTAAAATAATTGCAATTAATATGTTCAAGGAATTAAAAGACAGGATGTAGAAGTTTGATGGAAAGTTAGAAACTATAAAAAAGCTAAATAGAAAATTTGGAGCCCTGAAATGCAATAGCTGAAATAAAGAAATTAAATGGACAGGTTAAACAGCTGCTTAGATGCAGCTGGTGGGTGAATTAGTAAACTGAAGGACAGAAGAGACCATCCAGACTCAAGTGTGGAGAAAGAAAAGGATGGAAAATAGAGAAAAGAGTACAGATACTCCTTGACTTATGATGAGGTTATATCCTGATAAACTCATCATAAGTTGAAAATGTCAGAAATTAAAAATGCATTTAATATACCTCACCTATTGAACCTCATAACTTAGACTAGTCTACCTTAAATGTGCTCAGAACACTTAACATTAGCTTACAGCTAGGCAAAATCATCTAACACAGAGCTTATTTTATAATAAAACATTAAATATGTCATGTAATTTATTGAATACAGTTGTCCCTCTATATCTGTGGGGGATTGATTCTAGAACCCCCTGTCCACAAATCTTGGCAAGACTACGAAGATTTGTGGATGCTCAAGTGTCTTATAAAAAATGCCATAATATTTGCAAATAATCTACATACATTTTCCCTCATACTAGTCATCTCTACCTTGTAATGCCTAATACAATATGAATACTACATAAATAGTTGTTAAGTTGTATTGTTTTTATTTGTATTATTTTTTTATTTTTGTCTTGTTATATTTTATTGTTTGTTTCTGAAATAATTTTGATCTGTCGTTGATTGAATACAAAAATACGGAACCCATAGATTTGGAGGGTTCATTGCACTGTATGAAAAGTGAAAAACAAAATGGTTACTCAAAGTAGGGTTTCTACTGAATGATTATCACTCTCACAGCATCATAAAGTGGAAAAATCATAAATTGAACCATTGTTCAGTTGAGGACTATCTGTATAGGAGATAAATAAAACACAATGAAAGGTTTAAAATGTATATCTATATATTATATGTATACTATGTTATATATATTTATATGTATGTGTTATATATCTTTTATATGTATGTGTTACATATCTCTGCTCAGAGAAAGAGTAGAGGATGTTGCAGAAGTATTTGAAAATGTAATAATTATGTATTTTTCTAAATTGTCAAAAAATCTTAATCTGTTAATTTATGAGAGCCTCAAACTCCAGGAGGATAATAAAAAAAGGCCACCTAAACTCATCTAAATAAAACTGAGATAAACCAATGACTAAGAAGAAATCTTAATAGCAGAGATTAAAAAATTACTTTGAATGAACCAACGATAAAACTGACAACTGACTCTTTAGCAAAAACAGTGAAAACCCAATCCTAATAATCTCCTTCCCTTATCAAAGATAACCATTAACTTGATGATAAAGTCTTGTTATTTATTATTTTTATTATTTAAAAACATCTTTTTATCTTATATGTATGGACCTAGTAACAAAATGCAGTACTATTTGCATACTTTCAAACATTATTTAGTGTTTAACTCTATAAATGACACTGTAGTCCACTTAAAAAAATTTCAGCATTTTATTTTGGGATGTATTCAAGTTGATATGTACAATGTTAGTTCATTCGTGGACGTGTCTCCTTAGCACGTGTGCATTAGTTTCAGAAGGAACTCTTTAGGGACTTACTCAACTAAAGGTATACACATCTTCTTTACCACAATAAATTCTTAAAAAGTATGTACATCTTCAACTTTACTAGTTATACTCATTCCTTACCAAAATGAGTGGTGAAGCAATTTCTATCTCCCCAGTCATGTTTGCAAGTCTCCATTTCTCTATATCCTAACACTGATATTGTCAAGTTTACGGTTTTTTTTGTCATTAGTGTTTGTGAAATGGCATCTCATTATTAACTTTCATTCTTCTTTGCTTAACAAAGTTTACCATCTCTCTCTCTTTTTTTTTTTAAATTGTACTTTAGATTCTGGGGTACATGTGCAGGTGATGCAAGATTGTTGCATAGGTAGACTCATGGCAAGGTGGTTTTCTGCCTCCATCCCCCCATCACCTAAACCTGACATTTCTCCCCATGTTATCCCTCCCCACCCTCCCTCCCGCTATGCCTCCCCTAGCCCCTCACAATGGACCCCAGTGTGTGATGCTTCACTCTCTGTGTCCACGTGTTTTCATTGTTCAACAGCAGCCTATGAGTGAGAACATGTGGTGTCTGATTTTCATTCTTGTGTCAGTTTGCTGAGAATGATGGTTTCCAGGTTCATCCACGTCCCTACAAAGGACACAAACTCATTGTTTTTTATGGTTGCATAGTATTCCATGGTGTATATATACCACATTTTCTTTGTCCAGTCTATCTTTCCGGGGCATCTGGGTTGGTTCCAGGTCTTTGCTATTGTAAACAGTGCCACGATGAACATGCATGTGCATGTGTCTTTATAACAGAATGATTTATAGTCCTTTGGGTATATACCCAGTAATGGGATTGCTGGGCCAAATGGAATTTCTATTTCTAGATCCTTGAAGAATCACCACACTGTCTTCCACAATGGTTGAACTAATTTACACTCCCACCAACATTGTATAGTACTAATGGCCATTTAGATTTTCTGTCTTTAAGACTTGAATGCCAATATCTTTTACCTATTTTTCTCTTTTTTTTTCTGATTCATTTATAGTAGTTTTGGATACTAATTCTTTGCCAGTTATATATATTGAAGATATCTTCTCCCATATTGTAACTTATTGATGGTGTCTTTTTGTTGAAAAGAACTGTTAGGTTTTAAATAGTCAAATTTAGCTAACTTTTTCCTGCGGCTTGTACTTTATACATGTTATTTAAGCTATACTGTTCTACCCCAATATTGTAAGTGTATTACTCCATGTTTTCTTAAGTTTTTAAATTTTGTTTTTTCTTTAAATTTGGGGTATTAATTCACTAGAGCTTGGTGTAAAATATGGTTATATGTTAATATGTTTTACAATATTGAGATCAATTAAATAATTGTCCTACCACTATTTATTGAACAGATCATCTTTCTCCCTTGATTTATAAGGCCACAATCATCATATATCATGTTGTCATATATAAGAGTTTGCATTCGTTCTATTGTTCATGTGCTGATATCATGCTGTCTTCATTACTACAGTTTTGTAATATGTTTTGTTATTGGCGGGTGGGTGAATCCTCCAACTTGTACTTCAGAACTGTCTTGATGACACTTGGCCCTGCCTTTTCCAAGTGAATTTTCTTGAACCATCACAGCTCTTTTCATCTTTTGATTTCCCATTGCTGCCTGAGATACTGATTCCAAGAAACATTTGTATACTACGTTTTAAAAAGAAACCCACCTATGTGAACGTAATGACAAATGCCCATATACA